GAATTTAAGAAGACTGATTAGTAGGGGTTAAGGAAATACTCTAGAAAAGGAGTATATTTGTTTTGGGAAGTCCGCTTTCTACCAATTGTTTCCTACTGAAAACGCAAGGCAGCGAATTATATTAATCAAAACTTTATTTACCAGCTTTTTACCTATTTTGAAACTGCGTACTGCAGTGATTAGTCTGCTCTTTTCCCTTATTTTTCGCAGCTGAAAGCGGAAATATCATTCAACTGTCAGCGAACCACAAAACCGCCATCTAAAGCCAAAGTTCTAGGCTAGACAAAAACGTAGGAGAACGAGAAGGGCGGCAAAAAAAGATGATTAATTTACGCGTCCATTGGTCTATTCGTTGTCCTTTCCTGGGACTCCGTAGCTCTCCTTCAGTGGGACTCGGGCTCATTGTTTGCCCAGATTTACAAAAGCAGCCGAAACTTAATTTGATTAACTTTGAGTAGGTTTTTTTCTTTTCTGTCGCCTTTGTCTTTCCGGCTTCGGTTCATCAGCAGATGAGATGCGAGCGGGAAAACGTGGATAGAAGAGGATTGGATTGGAGTGGAGTGGAGTGATGGTGGGCTATGAAGAGAAGAAGGACGAAGGACGAGGCTACGTTGACGTTGATAATGATGTGGCCAGCCATCATCAGCGCTCGTCCGTTGGCCATAAAAAGTTACAGACTTTTAAGTGTCCTGCGTTGGCATTTTATTTTAGTTTATTGGTTGGCAATGGCAAATGAGAATGAGAATGCGAATGAGAGTGCCGTCTGAGAGATGAGGTGGAGCGTGTTTATGGCCGAGGCGTTCTGCATAGATGTGGGCTCGTAAATCGGTATTAGTGTACCTAAATGATGTCCACGGCATTGCGCAGACAATGAATACGAATCGCGAGGCGAAGGCAAATTGAATGCCAATTTTATTTGAACTTAATTAAATGGCGGAACTTTTTTTTCTTAGGAATGGCAAATAAGCTTGTAAAATAAAGTTTCCAGCAGCTGTTGTCGCAATAATTAACCGGCATTGTAACAGCATGGTCACATTAATTAAAAAGAAGCAAAGTAACTCAGGCTGGTCACATTAAAGTTTAATGATTAAACTGTTCAACTTGATATTTAAACCTCTATTTAAATAATTTATTGTTATTATGATTTAATTTTAGGAATTGATCAATTGATTAATCTAATAAAATCTCTAATCAGCATTTTAGTTTCCATTTGTATATAAAGTTTCTCCTAGTGCACCGGGTGTATATATTTTATTCACTCAATATTGAACTTTTCATAACTTAATTAAGCAACAACGAAACTGGAATTGCCTTCATATATGCATTAGTTGCCGATGCTGGCTAAAACTTTGTCGAGTCTGTGAGGTCTAATGTCTTTGCTTTGGCAATTTGGCTAAGGGCGTTTTGCTGTTTTGTTGTACGGCGCTGCATTGTTGCTGCCTTTCAGCTGCGATCCTTTATATTTCCCTACTGCTGCTACTGTTGCTTGCTTTTGCTGTTCTCGGTAATGTTTGTTTTCATTAACATTATTGTTGCTATTGTTGTTCGTCTAGCAACAACAACCAACATTGACGCAACTACACTTGAATGCATTTTGTGCAACAGCTACAACAACACCGCCAGTAAGAACAACAATAATAATAGCAACAACTCCAAAAGCCCCCAAAGGTATAATTTCAATTTCAACACTTTACAAACACGCCACAGTTGCGTCATTAACTGGGAAGTTTGCATGCGCCTCTCGTCTGCAGTTTTGCAGTCCGTACACTGAAATGTTACATTGTATCTTGGGCTAATTACAATAAATATAAAGATTAGCTTTAACAGCTTACTCTCTTTTAATTTCTAAAAATTATAATAGTATTGTTAATAAGAACAGGAGAATATAAAATTATTATTACATTCCATTTTGTAGTATATGCAATGGTTTTATATTTTTTGAGTTCACAACTGAAAATATTAATTTTATTTTTGTTAGTTTCTGTGTCTTCTATAGGTTTTTTTTTGTTGTTTTGTCTTTGATTTTTTTTTTTATTAGAATTTTTAAAATACCTGGGGATAAAAAAGGTGCTTTGTAAAAATTAAAATTTATTTGCTAAGTGCATTTGTGTATTCATGTCTGTATCGCTGCGTGGCACTAAGTGCGCTGGCTGACGGAAATGGCCGAAAGCAACAACGGCGACAGCAACGTCGGAGATGAGTTCAACGCAGCGTCAGGTGCAGCAGCAACTACAGCAACAGCAACTATAGCAACTGCAACAGCAGCAGCAACTTCAGCAGCAACAGCAACGAAAGCAGCAAGAACAACAAGCAAAAAGCACTTTTCCAGTAGTTGCTGCTGTTGTTTCATAAAACTTTATTGTTGCGTGTTGCTGTCGGTGTCGTCCTATTGTCGCGGCTGCTGCAATGCTTCAAGCCATACATAAAATCATTTGTGCCACCCCTCGAGCCCTCGAGCATTGACTAATGCTGACACCACGGCAACACGAACCCAGCAGCAACATCAGCCAACATCGGCAACATCAGCAACGTGGCGAACATTACAACAGTTGTGGACCATTAAGTTGACGTTTTTCCGTTGCATTTGCTGCGACATTCGTCCCAATGCCAATGCGATATATCCTCCCAACTCCCTCTGTCTGTCTGTCTTTCTGTGGAGGGCGTTGATGTTGATGGCCATCTAACTGGGCGAGCAGCCGCCAAGCAAAGTGGAAAACGGCCACAGTTCCGCTTGGTTATCTGCGGAAAATCTTCAAGGTGAATCGAGGATAGGTTAGGTGGCGGAAAAGTGGAAACGGGAAACGAAAGACCTCGGTGCACATTAAATCGATTTCTAAGTTGGACCAGGAAAGGAAGAAGGAGGAAAATCAATTTCAGTCCCGATGGAATAATCTAATTTTTATTACCGCTGCATAGCCATTCGTCATTTGCTTATTCCTTTGCATAGCACGACCACAGATGTGGGGAAAATTATAGATATGTTTTCACAAAATCAAAAAATATGTAATATATTTAATATTATATATAAATATTTAAGCAAACTTGTTTTAAATAAAACGACATTTAAGTGATCTATTGAATTTTAAGTGTTTTATTATAATTTATAATTTATAATTAAATATTACCTTAATTAAATAGTACATTTCTATGTTTGCTTTGTAAGCTTTATTTAACCATTTAATAAACTATGAAAGCACTCTTTATTCTGTTGGCAGCTCTATTGTTTTAACCGCAATTGTGCTCACATAACTTTTATCTTCTTCCACCATTTCTCATCGACTAAATGCTGCCGGATGCACAAGCTGCAAAAACACCGGCAAACAGGATTGCACATTTCTTTTATGCAGTAATCATTTGCGGCACTTTATTGAATTCCAAGCGGCAGCGGCAACCGAAAACAGCCCGCACAACAAGCCTCGCCCACTTCCGCCTTCCGCTAGCAGGTGTTGGCTTTTCCTCCCCTTCGGCCCCTCGCCGACTTATCCCTCCCCGTCGGTGTCCTTCACTTGGCATTTTCCCCAAGCGCTTTTTCCGCTTCGATTTTTTCCTCTTGTTATTCTTTCCCACACATCACATGCTTGCTTTGCTTTGGCTTCTTGCTTGCCTCGTGATGTCGGTTGTTTGCCTGCTTTGCTTGGCCAAAAAGTGCAGAAGAACGTTGCATACTTTAAGGCGAAAGTCAACCGCAAAGTGAATTTCGCCATCGACAAGCGCCATCTTGTCGGAGTAAGTGTGACCAGTTTGGCCGTTTTTCAGATTTTTAGAATTTTACTTTAGTATGTTAATAAAAATTAGAAAACACTAAAAATATCGGTCTGTTTTTTATAAATTAGTGGTCATTTATATTTACAAATAATTTAAGTTTAAATGAATAAATAATTTAAAAAAATATAAAATTTTTGGTTCCTTCTAATATTAAGACTTTTTGTATATTTCTTGTTTCAAAACATAAGAAAACATTAATATTAAAGTAACGCAGAAAAATGTTGTTGTTGGCTTGATAAAAATTGTATCTTTATAATGAATGCACTTTTTCAAGCTAAAAATTTGGCAGCACTGTATGTGAGTGTGTGTTAACTCGGCAGAGTGGTAATCTTGGGCAATCTTAATGCGGATATATTAAACTTATTTTTACAGCATTTCTTTCGGCGATTGCTTGGGCTCCTCACCAATCTGGATTCTTTATTTTCATATACTTTGTAATACTGGTGCCGCGCCCTTGTGCCTGCCATATCCTGCCGGTTCCTCAGATTTGGTAAGAGCGATAAACTAACTGCCTGGCAGAACCCCCCTCCCCTCACCTCCCACTGGGTGCTTTTCAACACTGGCAGACAGACAGTAAGTGGTGCAGTGGGTGGCTGTAGTAGTGGTTGGTGTGCGGGGCGGCATGTGTATGTATTTCGCAACTTGAGGCGCTTGCCACTTCCGCTGGCGGTCTATAAGAAAACACTAACACACTCGCTGAGGGGATAAAACTTTTCTACTGCTTTCCATTTATTTTTTTTATTTTTGGTTTCCCTCTCACTTATTTTAGTTTTATTGCTCGGCATTTTATTGCACAAATTTTAATATTTATTTTTGCTGTTGGTTTATTTTGCACTATGCCTGGAAGGCGATGCCAGTGTGTGGGTTGAAGTGTGTTTGTGTTTATTTTACCCACATACACACACACATGCTCAAACGTTGGATGCTTTGTTTGCTGTCTGCTCGCGTTTAGTTAGCGTTTTTCTATTGCAGCTCCATTTTAATGTTTAACAAACTTGAATGGCGCAGTTGAGAGCTCCCAAACAAACAGCAAGAAAATACAAACGATTTCAGCTCTTTTTCGCTTTTTTCACTCCTTGTTTGCCCCTTGTTTTGCGCGAAAACTTTTGTGAAAATTATTTTAAACTGTTAAAGCTTTTTATTTTTTTGCATTATTCTCATTTATCCTCTTGTGCATTTATCTCATTTAGTGGAAAAATCGGGTTTTTTATTGGATTTAATAAAAAGTCTTACCACACGGAATTAAATATTGATTTATTCATAATTGTAATACAAAATAAGATTTTCGATACAGAAATTCACGTCATGCTTCGGTACTGTTACCAACAAAAACTTACAAACAAGCGAAGTCGATTGCTTAAATGGATTTAGCCGGAAAACGTGATTTAAAGCCAGGGAAATCTGGGTCCAGGTGGAGGTGGATACATAAAATTCAGTTGCTGAGCCTGCTCATGATGATATTGCATCTCCGGATGATTTTGGATTCTAGGATGGGCGTGCCGATTTTGCTCAGGGTGATATTGCATCTCTCGATGATTTTGGATTCCTGGTTGGGCGTGATGATATTGCCTACCTGGCTGACTTTGAACTCCTCGATGGGCGTGATGAGACTGCCGATAATGCATCTCTTGATGATTTTGAACTCCCCGCTGGGGATATTCATGCTTATGGTTTTTTAAAATTGGCGAGGACCTATAATGATCACCACAGGCTCCATGCGTAATGGGCCTAGATCCTTGAACGGCACTAAATAATAATAATACATTAATATAAAATAAACAAATCCATATTTGCAGTACTTACTGAGCACAATATCGAGGATTAACTTTAAGATGTCGCTCGTCAGTTGGTGATGGACTTCCATAAAACCTGGTCTGGCCGACTTCCATCATTCCCGGTGGCTGATTATGAACTGGAGCGTGCTCGTTACTCGGTTGATAGTTTGGATAAGGACTGCTCGAGGACATTATCATAAATTTGCTAAAATTATCACTTCCGTAAAGTCTTGCAAACTGCTCAACGCTTTCCTGTTAAACCCAAATAAATTATATTTGTTTAAGCAATAGCTCTACAAAATGTGATCTTACATCTGGACAAAAAATACCCGGTAGCCGGACGCCGTTGTAAGCCATGTTGTAATTTAAGTTGTAATTTTAAAAAAACTCTGTTAATTTTGAAATTATTAAAACAGAATTTTGGAGCGAAATTGACATATTTTTCGTGGCTAAATTTTGAGAAATACCGAATATTAAATTTTTAAGTCCACCACTCTTTTTAATTTGATTACCATTCAACTGACCTTTCAGTGCTTCTGGCCAAGTTAAGCGTTAAGCAGTTGACAGGCAATTATTGCACCCTTATAAGGACATCAACTACTCGGCACATTCGTTTAATTCGCCGTTTATTAATTTACGCTGAAAATCCTTAACGACAGGTTCATGTTTTTACGGCTGCCACGGCAACCTCATTACCGTCGACTTATTGTAAATAATTATTTGCGGCTTACAAGCATTTTTTGTGCCCTTAGCGTATGCGGAATTTATGAATAAATCATTTGATCCCCGCGCATTCGCCAGTGGCTGTCCTGCTTTCGAGTTGATGACCTCTTCGCCGGATAATATGCAATATGCATTTCCGTGGCGCCGCCGATTCGCCAGGCAGGTGCTTGTTGTTGAGTTTTAATTAATCGAGAACTCATAAAAATATTAAAATGGAAAAAAGCACAGGGCTTATATGGGATACGGCAATGGCAATGGCTGGGCCATATCGTCAAGAGTCGATGACGAGTGGGAAATGGCGATGCATGTTTTATTGCCCTGGCATGCCATATGAGTATATGAGTGGGCAAAAGGCATAAAGCGCTGAGGTCCTTGCTGTCTGCGTCATATTAAATTAAAACTGCTTTTTATTTTTTGTGTTTTATAATTGGAGGCATTATGTCATGGCTTGAATTCTCGAATTTCAGAATTTCACCAAAATAAGAAGGCCCTTACTTTCGGTTTCAAATTTAATTTTTTTGTTTTACCAGGCTTGCAATACTATATTCGAGAGTGTTTACTAGAGTTGCAACGTCTGTTTCTCAAACAATACTGATTTTTAAAGCATAGGTGACAACCCTGCGCGAGTAAACGATTAGAACAGTCCACTAACTTGGTTGTCAGATGACAATGCATAAATTGCTGTCCAATTCGTGTTAAAGAAATGTTTCTTTCCCCTTTTTCTGGTCATTACCGGTTTGTCGTTTGAGACCACTACATCGCAAAAAAAAGAGCTTCTGAAGTCCTATGAATTGAAGGACGAACAGGCTCGCGAGGATTTTATGAATCGTTTAGATTCCAAGACGATCGAAATGACGCCGAATTGTCCGATGAACCCAGATGCAACACTTCCAAGGGTCTCCAGATCAGAGATGCCAAACGCAAGGCCAAGGAGTTGGTCTATTCAAGCCCCGATTAAACACAAAATATTTAATATCCGTTGTATACGAAATTGCAATAAACATAATGCATTAGGCCAGCCCACTACAAAGAGTAGCTGCAGCTGATAATTAATTAACAATTTCTCGCCCCCACGCTGGGCGCAAAAGGCCATTGCCGTAATTAGTGGGCGTGGCAGCAGCAGTGTAGTGTAGCACACATTAGTAGCCCGTGCAGAGCTGAACAGAAATTGCTTAAGGTCACAATGGGGTCGTGATTGCAGCGAGAGGAGCACTCTAACCCAAATGCCATTGTCCGACTGCCAAACTGGCCGGCATTCCAACGCCCAAAGCAATTAGTGGGTAGGTGCACTGGATTGCACTGGCTGCCTGGTGTTTTTGGTAGATTGGACTCGTGGGTGGTGGACTATGTGGCAATTGGGTGGGGTGCTGCATGGGGCTCAACGGCTCAGTCGGATTCAGCTCTTTGATTGCAACTTTATATTTGTCAAGGCCCAAAAGCTGTCTGTCTGCATCACAGCCATTCAAACTTCCGAAACCAGTTGCATATTTTCGGTCACTCAGTTTCAATTTCCTACAAAAATACCTTTTCACAGTGAGGTAAGATTTGAACAGTTCGAGTTTATGTGCACCTAAAAAAAACTTGATATGAAAAAATTTTTGATGTTGATTAGTATCAATTTTGTCTTGATATGCTCACACTGTAACTTTAAGCGCTATCTAGCTCTTTTTCGAATTGAGAGAGCTTGTACTTCTCGCTTCCACTCACGTAATTTAGGTCGCCACATTGCTTCTTCCTCTATTTTTCGAATTCAGATAATCTGAAATAGAGATAGATTTCGGTAGAAACGATGTGCGTCTGCAATACCAGAAATTTACCATGCTCATATCAATTTGACAGCAACGTGTTTTTTGTTGTGTGTGGTACCAATAATCTTTTACAATGTTTCCACCTTTACCACTCTTTTAATCTTAACCAAATCTGAGCTGAAAAGTGGATTAATTAATTTTTAGCTCAGCATTATTGATTTGAGCGATGCATTTAGTCGTTATTTGGTTGAATGCTGTGGCTTGTGTTTGCTCATTTAACCGGTGAAATTTGATCAGGAGCTTCTAGGAGCTTGGTGTTTCGTGAGTCAAAGGAGCCCATAAGCTCATTACAATGCTCCGGCTTTGTTGTTGCCTTTGCAGCCGGGGCAATGCATTCGAATGTAACTGAGATACGCCCCAAACATGCTTTGGGCCATAAACTAAACTGTCACGGATTTTCGGGCCGGGGCGGAAAATCGAGCAGCCGCACGACACGCCCGTAGGCCAAATATCTTGCACACATATTTGTCGACAAGTTGGCAAACTAAGCGGGCGAAAGGTGGCAAGTGGGTGGCTTGAGGCAGGGTGGTGCTCAAAAGGGTGGTGGCATGTCAGCCTTTGTGCTAATGCAATTTAGTGCCTCCTGCAGCAAATGAACCTTGATTATGTGTTTATTAGACACCAATTTACGCCTGCTGCAATGTTGCAATGTGGCCTCTCCTCTCCGGCGGCACATTTTGCTTTTCATTTAGGCTGGCTGGCGTATTTAAATTCCACACCATTGTCATAAATATCATATGTCGGTTTACCTGCATCTAAACAAGAGAATGCTTGGCCTTCCACAATAGCCTGAGCCTTTTGAAATGCAATTATTTCAATAGTGCTGAAACTGGAGAAGTGTCATGTTCTATCGATTGATTCTATTGAACTGAGATTAGGTGTTAGTGGATTTAGCAAATTTACAGTCCTTAAATTGAGAAACATAAATGTATGAAATATGCTTCAATGAGCAAAGGTGATTATTCTCTTGAAATGTGCCTAACTGGGTTAGTAATTTAAATCAATGATTATTAATTAAAAAAAAAAACAAAGTTTTTAAAATTAATAACCTCAAAGCTTACGCTTTATTATAAGTACAAAACATATTATAATCTCATAAAATAACAAGAAAGGAAGCTACCTTCGGCCAGCCGAAGCTTATATACCATTGCAGATAAAGTAATGCTCACTCGGTGCAATTCCAGCGATTCCAGATTCAGCGTTTCTATTTCAATTTTGTTTTTAAGTAGTCAAGAATCAAAACGCCTACTTCCTACAAAGTTACAATGAATTTTCTTATATTTGTTTGAATATTCCTATGGAAGCCTTAAGATATAGTGGTCCGATCCGGCTCGCTCCGACATATGTACTACCTGCAATAGAAAGAAGACTTTCGGGAAAGTTTCATCGCGATAGCTTTAAAACTGAGAGACTAGTTCGCATAGAAACGGACAGACGGACAGACAGACAGACGGACAGACGGACAGACGGACATGGCTAGATAGACTCGGCTATTGGTGCTGATCAAGAAACGTCTCCTTCACTGCGTTGCAAACATCTGACTGAAATTATAATACTCTCTACAAGGGTATAAAAAGTACCTATCAAACTTTTTATGCTCGACCCATATCAAATTCTTATCTCTGTCTGATGAACCTGGTGCTATTTTGACCACTAACAACCGTTAACTAGATACACTCATTAACCCAAAAGTCTTGGTTTTATAGCCATTATACATATGCAGGAAGGTAGGCCATACTTGTTAGCTAAAGCAAACACAATTACACTTACGCACTCAAATTTATTTACAGGACATAAAGTAGACACTCCTTTTCGCCAGCACACACACACACACACAGGCGCAAGGACATGCCGTTGAACAACCGTATCCTGTTAGTTTACATACCTCAAAGGCATTAATTATTTATGAAGAGACAGGCTGAAATAGAAGCCCTCCGCTTGGGAGGAAGAGAGACAGGGAGACAGAGAGAGAGAGCGAGAAAGGAATGTAATAAAATTACAAGCAAATGCCGTAAACACGAAAGGTTTTGAAATTCAAGCAAGTGAAAGCGGTATTAAGTTTGCTGGCCGTGACAACTGGCAAACTGGCTAACTGGCCAACAGTAATTAAAGGCTATAATAAAGCTAACGTTTCTCGAGGAGGCAGAAGGCGGAGAGAGAGGGTGACAGTAGGCACATGTCAGTTGTCAACGCAGCAATTTGACAGGACCCGCACTGAAAAGCCCAGATATATCCATTCCCACAAAGACGAGAAGGGAGAGACCGCAAAAACGAAGCTAAATGCTGACCAAGACAGACGATTAGAATGGGACAACTATAGTACAGTGCAAGAAATTATCATAAACTGAAATCATATGTTGAGATTGCCGCAAGAAATGTAAATGTAATTGGACTAAATCGAAGTATTCCCAAAATATTTAGTAATCTCCTACTAACGCATCATTATTAATTGTAAATAGTCAAAATGAGTTTTTGTTTTCTTTTTTACAAATATTTATATATTTTTCATAAATGATTTATGGATTTTAAAATTAATTTTTACACTATAAAGACAGCTTTAATATTCTTTTGAATATTGTTAAAAAATGTTTTGTTAATTTTGAATTCATGGAACGCACTGTACTCATATATCTGTATGTTTGTCACACTTCAGATACTTGACTTGTATTCTCAAGCACTTTGGCCTTGTAGATTTTATGTCTTGCGGCTTGCATTATAAAATTAGTGACATACCATATAATGGGGCAAGTGGTGAGCGGTTGCAAAGAGGGTGGTAAAGGTCGAGGGGAGGACAGGGACACTTTGATCCCCTTGGCGCCTTCAAGTCATTTGACGCAACGGTCCCCTTCTGTTTATGACAGTTGTTGAAATTTCACAGGCTCTCTACGCTCATTAACAATTGGCAATTATGCCACAAACTTTCGATGCGTATGTATTGAGCTAATATTTGCTTAAATCAATGAACGCTTAGGCTGCAAACTATTCCATTTAATTTCTTTCTATTTTACTTGTGAGATGGTTTTAATGACAATGTTTGCACACAATGTAAAGAGCCTTAAAATCGAATGTGTATGGGTTTTAGGGTCATTAGTTGAATATGCATTAACGCTCATAAATAACTTTACACTTAATGTGAAACAGGCAGACTAGCCAACCTCACAAACACACGCAATGCATTTAAGCGGTTTTCGTTGATCACATTTATCATTAAAGCCGCATTCATTGAATAAATAATTCACATAGACATGCATAACTGTAAATTGCAAATCTGCTTGATTTGACTAATTGTTGAAATTGATAGCAATAATTGATATATTAGGGCGCAGTTAGTTTCACGCAGGAATTTAAATGCTATAAAGGTATTGTATTCCTAGCTATTGCAAATGGGATTAATTTGAACTAATTAGGAATTCTATCTGCAATTATAAAATAATACTCCCTCCAACCTAACAAGCTAAATATAGTGAAATGCACTTAGAACTGGGTATTCAAAGTGTAACCCGTTTTTCTTCAGTTCATTCGCGACCATAACTTCTCCTATAATGTTTGGTTTTCTTCGTCAGTTAAGCATTCCGAAACTCTCCGCCGGAATTCTGCGCTGGACTTTCTACTCATCCACAATAATGGGTGAAATCGGCTTCAAGTTTAAAAACACACACCCAGAAAAATGATGGACAACATTTTAGGTCATACATAGCCTAAAACATTTTAAATGGACTAAAAGTTCCTTTTTAGGTCATGTACTGCCTAAAAATTTTAATTTTTGGTATATTTGCCCTACTATTTAGGTCCCGTATAGCCTAATATTTTAGGTCATCGTGGGCCTTAAAATTAATGCATTTTACCTAAATAAATTTGCACGGAACTCTGATACCGTTCTAGCGACTCTATAATTCCCAACCAGTTATAGCGCGGCTTGCATGGTAACCCACTTCCATCGTTGAATAAAACAGCGATTTCACTGCTGAACAGTGAAGCCTCTTCGCTCGTTTTTGTGTGTTGGAATAATGACGACTTCTTGAAGACTAAGCCGACATTGACCTCGAGTTAGCTATAAATTTATCTGTATTTACTTTATAATATGAAACATTTTCAGTACAAATTTTTAGGCCAAAGAAAGCCTAAAATTTTGGATAGGGGTTTTCTCATATTTTAAGGCAGCCAATTACCTAAAATCTAGGCCAAAAATTACCCCATTTTAGGCCATTAATGGCCTAACATTTTAGGTCATACAATCCTAAATTTTAGGCCATTCAAGGACTTAGCTCCAGTTTTAGGCCAATTTTACCTAAATTCTAGGCCATTTTTTGACATTTTAGGTCATTTTTTTTTCTGGGTGTACATTCATGTACTAATATAAAATTTTTAGATCCATATTTTTCCTAGACTTTTAACTGAAAGGGGGTGATTTAACACGTATAACCCTCTTAATTCGAGGCTACGTTCCTGAGTGAGTAATTAATTTGAAAGATGGAGATATCCAAAAACTTGACACGTATTTTATTCCACAGTTAATGTCAATCCTTGAGGTTCGAGCTTTCATTAGTGAAATGCACTTAGAACTGGGTACTCGAAGTGTAACCCATTTTTCTTCAGTTCAATCGTGGTTATAACCTCTCGTGTAATGTTCGCGGAACTTCGTCAGTTCAGCATTCCCAAACTCTCTGCTGGAATACTTCGCTGGACTTTCTACACCTCCAGATTAATGGGTGCCGTTGGCTTCAGATATAAAACCACATCTACCGAAAGAGTAATGATGGAGGATAATCCTCTCATGTGGAAGTGGCTTTTTGCCATAATTCGCTTAGGAAGCCTATCTGTCTATCTATACATGTACACACAATGGAAAATGCCCTCCAGTGACTTGATCGAAAAAGTTCTGCAGCTCAACCGTGCGTTTCTTCAATCTGCCTGTTGCATGTCCATTGTTAGATTGCATCTTTATCAAGGACCAGAGGTTACACAACTGGTCAATAGTTTTCTTCAGCTATATCGAAGAGTTCAAAGCATTTGCAACCGCAATCAAAATGGCTTTGGTGGAAAAGATGACCTAATATTTTTAGTTTTCATGCTGATCTGCTTGATTCACGAGGAAATCTTCCTGCTGAGATTAATAAAACCTCACTGGAACGCACTCAAATTGGCTGGTTGGTTAGCTGACATCTATATCTCCTTTGGCATAAAAATGATGACATACATGGCCTGTTTTTGGTATTTAACTTTGGGCCTTCTGTATAGTAACTTAAACTATCATATTAGATCGGAACTTGAAACATTGGATGTACAACCCACTAACGAAAAAAAAAGAAATATTCAAAAACGTTTAAAAAAGTGCTTGGAACTTTATCGGAAACTTGATTCCTTGACAGCGAAATTTCAAAAAGTTTATGAAATTCCTCTTTTCTTTGCCATGGCCCAGAATAGTGTATGCATACTCCTTTTTGCATATTTGGTCATCACCAGGATCCGATTTTACTTTTTTCTTTTATATTCGAATACTGTGGTTCAGGTATTCAACATGTTTCTTTTGACTTGGTCGGTTCGAAGAGCGGTGGTTAAGTTCGGCGAAACTCGATTCCTGATGCTAGATAACAGCGAGCTCAGTAATATCAGGAATTGGCACAAAACAGTAAGTACAGAAACAAATATCAATCAAATATAATAACATTGTAGAATATATGTTTTTTACAGTCTGAATTGTTCTACATGCAACTGAGTGTGGATGAGTTTCGGGTGCGTCCGCTTGGCCTTTTTGAAGTATCCAATGAACTCTTCTTGGCGTTCTTTTCGGCAATAGTTTGCCATCTTATCTTCTTTATACAATGCAGAATGCAGTTGAAATAGGTTGAAAATATTGACTTGCAGATATTTAATAAGTTTATGTTGTACATTAAGAACATATCAATTTACCATAATGTGGTATCAAGAATAAATATTTAACCTAATAAATACTAATAACTAAGTATAATTTGTGTATCAGTTTGTTTAAATGTGGTTACTCAGAAATAACGCAATCAATTCATCAATCATGAGAGAGTTTATTAACTAGAAGAAAAGGTTGTATATATATTTTGGTATTAATGTTTACAAGATCTTTTAGTATAATACAACTAATTACCTATTTTTTAAGTTAAGATTGTTAAATTGTTAATGTAGTTTTTTTCGAGGAAATAAACATTTTGTCTTTTGTTTTTGGTAAACAATTTTATAAAGCGACAGCTACGTAAGTCATTGTTGCTTTTAAAAGATGAAGATACCTATAAACTTGACAGGTATTTGCCACCACAAATATTATCAATCTATTTGGTTCAAGCTTTCATTAGTGAAAAACACTTAGAACTGGGTATTTTGGTGTACCACAATTTTCTTCAGTTCAATCGTGGCTATAACCTCTCCTATAATGTTCGGGGTACTTCGTCAGTTAAGCATTCCAAAACTATCTATCGGAATTCTGCGCTGGACTTTCTACACCTCCAGATTTATGGGTGCAGTTGGCTTCAGATTCAAAAGAACTTCTGATGACCGAGTGATGATGGAGGATAGTCCTCTCTTGTGGAAGTGGTGCTTTGCCATTATTCGCCTAGGATGTTTATCTACTTTTACCTACATGTACATAAAATGGAATTTGTCGTTCATTGACCTGACCGAACCATTTCTACACATTTCCCGTGCGTTACTGCAATTTTCCTGTTGCATGTCAATCCTGAAATTGCAGCTTTATCAAGGAGTAGAGGTCACTCAGCTGGTCAATAGTTTACTGCAACTGTTTCGAAGAGCTCAAGCCTTTTGTAACCGCAATCAAAATGGCTTTGGAGGAAAAAGTGAAATAATTATTTTATTTTGTGTGCCAGTCTACTGGATTCACGAGGAACTCTTCCTGCTAAAATTAGTAAAACCTTATTCCAGCTCTTCTAACTTTATTTTTTGGTTTGCTGATGCCTTTATCTCCTTTGGTTCTAAAATGCTTACATTTATCGCCTGCTTGTGGTATTTAAGTTTGGGCGTTCTATACAGCGATCTTAACGACTTTGTTAGATCCCAACTAAAGTCCGTGGACTTACAGCCCACTAACAGAAAACTTAGAAAAATACGAAAAAGATTGGACAAGTGCTTGGATTGTCACAGGGATCTTCATTCCTTGGCATCCAAATTCCAAAATATATATGATTTTCCACTTCTTTGTGGAATGTTTGAAAGCAGCGTGAGCGTTGTTCTTCTTGCATACGTAGTCATTATCAGGCTCCGATATGGTTTCCTTTTTTTATATTCAAAGACTGTGGTTGAGATTTTGAACATGTTTCTCCTAACATGGTCAGTACAAAGAGCAGTGGTTAAATCGACTGAAATTCGACTGCTGATGCTGAATGACTGCACCCTTTCTAAAATCCCGAACTGGAACAAAACCGTAAGTGAAGAAAATTAAATACAAAATAAGAAACTATTTTACAAATTTTTTCACACAGATGGAAATGTTCTACTTGCAACTTAGTGTGGACGAGTTTCGGGTGCGTCCGCTTGGCCTTTTTATTGTATCCAAGGAACTCTTCTTGGCATTCCTGTCCACAATGACCTGCTATTTTACCTTTTTCATACAATACGAAATGGAAAGAAATTAAGTTAACAAGTTTTTTTACGGAGTTTTTAAATTTATTTTCATGTTGTTTTAATTCTGTCTCTAGCTCAAATAATTTTAAGCTTGGATCTTTACTACTAACTAAGAGAGATAAGTGACTTTAATTTTTTAAATTGTCTCATAAATGTTAGAAATATATAATACAACTTTAATAAAAGTTTAAAAATAATATGAAAATGTTTCATTTTTTTTATAAAATTACTACGCAGTACTTTGTAAAAAGAAGCGTTGCCTGACACCAACGGTTATTTATTCTGGGCCACGGAGACCACAGATCTGAACAGAAGTTAACTTGCCATTAGGAAAATTAATTTTGTTGGAACTCGATTAAAGCAAATAGGTTTTCATTTTGATCAAGGTTCAACGCAAGCAAGTCCAGCAGCATTTTCGGAAAATGAGTGCATCAAAAGTGTCCGTCGGAATTTTATGCGGATTTTTAATCTACGGCAGATATGTGGGCGCAATCTTCTTTCAACTTAAAAAGCAAAATAATTGTGATTTGGTCTTTGTGGAAAGTTTCCGAAATAGTTCCAGTCTTAAGTGGCTTTTGGTGATCCTGCGACTCTTGCCTTTTGGAATTCAATGTTTTTCGTACGCCACGTGGATCCTGGGAAGGAACGTATTGGTCGAACAAATATTACATTCGATATGTCTTCTGTTGTTATTTCCCTGCTATCTGTCTACAGTGACCTTTAATATTTTCCAAAGTAAGGAAGTGATTACGTTGCTCAAACAATATCTGGAACTCTTTCGTCGAGTGAGATCCCTGTCCTTCAGGAAAAATAACGGATTTGGAAATAAACGCGAGTTACTGATGCTTCTCATTTGCTTGGGTTGCCAGGTTCAGGAAATCGTACACTTTTGGGCAGTACTTGCACCGAAAGCCAATAAGGAAAATATTATCGGTCTAGTGAGCTTCGCCTTTGTAAATATTACCAGTAGTGCGATCACGCGTTCCACTTTTATTTTCTACCTCAGCTTAAATGTTCTTTATTCGGAGTTCATTGAAAATATATGTTTCGAAGTGCAATCTCAAGCACTGACCGAAAGTTGCAATCCCTCGCATCAAAAGACGGTCCGAATCCGAAGATTAAGAAGAAATATGACCATTTTTACGGAGATTTCTTATGTGGTTGCCTCATTGCAAAAGCTTTCTGGCATTCACCTGTTTTTTAACTTTCTTAAATCATTTGCATACATAGTCATGATCTTTTACAAGATGATAATCGACTTACGATTTAGTACTTTTTGGATATGGTTTGCGTTCGCTAGAATTATTCTAGACTTCCTTAGTTTTTGTTTGGTTATTCAAGAATCACTTAAACAGTTTATATTTATTCGCGAACTCAATCTGGAGATTTTCTTTATTGCAGAGTTTAATAACTGGAAGAAAAGGGTGAATATAACATTTCAATCAATTGTATTTAAATTACAATTTTCTTCGTCTTAGGTGGAACTTTTTATCACTCATCTGTATCTGTATGAGTTTAGGGTTGTTGTCCTTGGCCTGTTTAATATTTCTAACAGGCTATTTATTATTATAGTATCTGGTAGCATAAGCTATCTGGTTTTCATCATTCAATGTGTAATACAGTTAAGATCCAATTAATATTTATACCCGTTACTCGTAGAGTAAAAGGGTATATTGTATTCGTGCAAAAGTATGTAACAGGTAGAAGGAAGCGTTTCCGACCCCATAAAGTATATATATTCTTGATCAGGATCACTAGCCGAGTCGATCTAGCCATGTCCGTCTGTCCGTCTGTCCGTCTGTCTGTCTGTCTGTCTGTATGAACGCTGAGATCTCGGAAACTATAGAAGCTAGAAGATTGGCATTTTGCATGCAGATTCTAGGAATTCCTACGCAGCGCAAGTTTGTTTCAAAATGGTGCCACGCCCCCTCTAACGCCCACCATCGCTTATATACGATTTTAAAAATTTTAATATTTTGGAAAAGTAAAAATGCAGTTTTATTGTGTTTATCAATACCTATCGAAATGTAGAAGAAATTTTTCAAATCGGACCATTCGTTAAAAAGTTATGCGTGATCAACGTTTTCTATCTCTATCTCCATCTCCCTCGCACTCCCTTTACCTGAGTAACGGGTATCTGATAGTCGGGGCATCCGACTATAACGTTCCCTCTTGTTTTAATTTAATTATTACATTTGCAATGGTATTCCAAAGAAAATGTTATTGTTTTGACTATAACCTATTCAGGACCGACACCAAATAAAATAATCTTTACATATGTAATCATTCAATATACTTTTAGTGTTATTTTCTTATTCAGGGAGTTTGACGGGATCAGAAGTGCCTTTATCTAGATTCCAAATCATTAAGAAAATTAATCTCGATTCGAATACTTAAAAGCAATAATTTTGATGTCTGCGCTTGTCACCTGCCATACAATGATATCATCGCGCATTGGCTTAAGTTTTCATTAACCAAATGCTCTGCGCATTTAAGTGCTTAGAGCAATTAATTCCCAATTCCAGTCGGAGTTAAAACCAAAGCGGTCATATTCGGGGTCTTTCATAAGATGAGTGTTCCGAAACTTTCCGCCGGAATTCTGCGTTTCATTTTCCGATACGCACAGTTTATTGGAGTTTTCTTTTTTCGCCTAAAGAAGAGTAAAGAAGGAGAAAAAGTATCGAATTGCAAATGGCTCAAGTGGATGGGTGTTACCCATCGTTTTATAACATTCTGCATTTTCTTATACTCATATTCATGGAATATAATATTAGCAAGTCATCGCGGCGAGCAAGTTCTTCATATTTTGCGGATTTTACTGAGCATTCCAATCATTTTGTTTCTATTGGGATATCAGGTTTTGCGAGGCCCGGAAATTATTGAGCTTTTCAATAAGTTTTTCCGACTCTTCTGGCAAGTGAGCCATTTGTTTAAACCGAAAACCATTGGCTTTGGAGGCCGACGTGAACTGATTTTGATCCTACTCAACTTGGTTTGCCTTTTCCATGAGTTAACATATATCTGGATTACTGTGAAAAACATTTCAACCTGGCATTTTGCTATCTATTGGTGGTGTGACGTTTTTGTTGTCACAGGAACCAACATGTTCATCCACATAAATGTTATGGCCTTTCTCAGTATTGGAGTTCTTTATTCGGAGGTCAATAGATATGTTCGTACCCATTTGCGAACCCAACTGCAGAATCTGGATACTTCGGCCAGCGAACAACAAATAAGAAAACTGAAAAATAGGCTGGAAAAGTGCACATATTTGTACAGAGAGATATATCAAATCAACACTGGTTTTCAGAGGCTTTTTGTGATGCCCCTTTTTTTGGCACTGATAAATAAGGTGTTGTTAGTCGTCACGATTGGCCTTAAAATGATTACCGATTTGAACTTCTGCGGCTGCGTTTTTTGGATACTTATCGGAAAACACATATTAGATCTTCTACTGCTAACCACTTCCGTCCAGGGTGCATTGAATCAATTTAGGATTATTCGAAGGCCGAATTTGGAGATCCCTAAAGCGGAAGATCTGAAGGAATTTCGCCGCATGGTTAGTTCATTTGTATGAAACGAATTTGTTCATAATTAATTTCCATATTTATTTTTTTTAGCTGGAAATATTCTATACCCATCTCAACCTTTGTCAGTTCCGAGTTAGCATTTTGGGCCTCTGTGAAATAACCAACGAGCTTTTTTTAATGATTTTATCCGCAGTAGTAACTTGGTTGGCGTTCATTGCTCAATATAGAATGCAGATAAAAATTGAGAAAAATTTGTTTGCTTGAATTTTGTTATTATCAATAGAAAGAATTTTGTTTTGTAAATTAAATTAAAAGTTTTTGTTTTTAAAAAAACATAAGTAAAATACAACTTCAATTGTAACTTGCGGAAAAATAAAATTTATTAACTACTATTGCTTTCACTTATTTCCTTCAATAAAATAACGCCAATTAAACTAAAAATCTTCATATCGGATAATAAACAAATAATAAATAAGCAGCCTTGGTTTTAGTGTAACAAAATATTTTCCGTATTCTCTGAAGCCACTTAATAAACTGCAATTATGTGAAAGCCACAAAATGATGGAGGAACGCACCATATGCCCGTGTGGCCAGTGTCCAGCTGTCAGGGGGCACATTGCTCATTTTAATGGCTGTGGAAATGAACTTTCGCCACGTGATTTGGCCAGAAGTTGGACCCTCGGGTCAGTCACATCAATAGATAATTTTTCATAATTAACGTGTGTTTGTTTATCCAGCACATTTTCCTCCTCGGCGAAGTAATCCCCTGGTTCGCTTTGGGTTCATTAGGGATCATAAAATGTTTCATTTTCATTTCAGGAAACGACTCGTTTTAGTGCCGTTGATTATGTAGCTTCTGCTTTCTCGGGAATTTCAAAACGCAAAAATTAGCTCAAGCATGCCATCATTTTCATGCACAATTTACTTTGATTTATTAAATTTCCAGTCTGATCCTTTTTGTCCTTGGCTCAATTTACATGCATATATACATGGGTATTTTTAATGTATTAAGCCAATTAAGGCTGACACGCACACGGAAAACTGTCAAACTGACCGTTGTCCTTTCCCTTCGGCCAGGTTGTCCATGTCCTTGTGCTGGCAAGATTAATTTAGACGAAGCGGCTTCCTTTGTGTTTCATTAAACAGATTTGGTGTTATTTACTTAAACACTTAAAATAAATGTGCAAATATTTCCATCGGCTGCAGGGAGTTTAATTGAAATTCCTTCGTCCTTCGTCTGATCAACCTGCTGCCTTCCTTCCTTGAGGTGACAATTTAAGCACGCTCAATGCCAACGGATAATGACGTTGATTGTGGCATCTCCTTGGTCGTTTCTTCCGTCTCATTCTCGTCCTTTGCAGCAGGCATCCATCAATCGCAGGACCCCGGCTTCCTGGCCATCCTGCAAGCCTGGTCCTCTCTGAGTAGCAATAGCAACAAAGGCACATCATGTTGAGATGTTGCCAGTGCTGTTGTCCTTATCCTTCGTGCTCCGTCCTGCGTTCTGCCTCCTGCGTATGTGCATGTGTATCCTTGTGTGCTCCATGCTCCTCTGTTCTTGTTGCACTTTGCTCTGACATTTTGAGTTTATGGCATATTTGCATTATGACTCTGCTGCCTGGCTGCCCGGGTCCTTCTGCTCCGTTCTCCACCTCCTGGCAGCGTGTGTGTCCTTTTCATGGTGCACTTGAACAATGACGTTGACTTTGTCGTTGAGGTTGCCATGAATGCATGGGCCAGGACTCCAGGACTCCCAGTCCAAACCCGAACCCGACTCCTGCTGACGCAGCTGTTAACAAGGCAAATAACAACGCATGCTTGCATAAAAATTATGCAAAGCTTAACAACCTAAAACTATTTCGACCCCCCACCCCCAGTTCCCTTAATTGGTCAATTTTGCTGCCCTCTCTTAGCCCCATTGACGACCCAAAATGGGATATTCTTGAGCGATTTTTAAGGCTCAATCTGTGGCCTGAACCTGAACCTTTTCCATTTCATGGGTTGCGTTCGAGTTGTCAGAGTTGCGTTCGAGATGCATTTTGTCATTCTGACTGGTCGGATGGCAAGGGATGGCTGGAATAAGCTGGCAAAGCACTTGCCAAGGACATCTATCAGGCATTAGAGTTCGGCTTTCGGCAAAATCTCCTTCAGTTCAATCCAGGCATGTATTATGTTTTAGAGTACAGAGAAAAAATCTAAAGAAAATTGGGTCATTGCTAAGATTAGTAAGTTTCTTTGACATAAGCAATTTATTAGATAAATAGAGATAGAGAAATCGGTATTGCATGGTAAAAACGATATGTCCATATATAAACAGAAATTTACCATGCGCATATCGATTTGATTCCGGCGAGTTTTTTTTGTGTGTATAAAATAAAGAGCATTTGTTAGCAAATTTTAATAAATATTTTAATAGATTAATATATCGAAACTATGATTTTTCTTTGTGTAGTAAAACTTTATTTTTAATTTTCTCGTTGCATATGAGTTGGGGGTCAAGCCGTAGCTATGCCTTTTAAATATAACCAAAAAATTAAAGTCAAGCTTAGTCCCAACAAACTTTATAAGCCCCTTTAGTCGGTCTTAGTCCTTTGTTATCCCTCTCTAATACCGGACTTTTATGTGCAGCAACTAAATGTGTTGATATCACTTTTAATTGGAAGTTCACAGATTTACATCTGACTGGGGATAACATGTTGCACGTCAAACTGCAGACGATGCTGTGCCGAAACCTCAGCAAAAGTTTAGTTTTTGTTTTACAATTTTGTATGGATGGTTTTTCTTTTTTTCTATGCTTAACAAACGTGTCTGTTAACCAAAACATCATGCGAAGATGAAGGAACTTTAACAAAACCGAGATGATGACGATGATGATAGTGAAGGGAAGGATGTGGCAGATACACACACACAGATACACTGGGGGTAAAACAAAGTTAAGCAAAGCAAGGGGCCACAATGTCTACACTAAACCTGAATGTGTAGCAATTTGCTAAACAAGAAAATAATTGACTTGCCACAATGTGAGGCATGCTAGCCGCACAGACACATCACACAAACACACACAGCAGTCTTAAAGAGAGCAAATTGAATTTCCAGCGAAGGACGAACGGCGCGCCTAAGTATGCAACACTTTTTTTTTTGCCCCTCCCAGGACTCCACTTGAGCGGCTAATGGCGTAGAAAAACGGGTCGCGTGAAAAGCGCATGGCATAAAAATGTATGCCCTCAAATGAAGCTCGTGATGGCTGCCAGTCATTGTTGCTGTTGCTCTCGCTTTTATTGCTGTTGATGCTGATAAGTGGAACTTGAGCGTCAACAATGCATGAGGCCGGCCCTCGTCATGGACCCATTTTTCCCCAGAATCCCCATCATCCGTTCCACTGCAGCCGGCGATAAGATAAATTAATTCAAGTAGTTTGGCCAGACACTAAGCCCATGCAAACCACCCATCAAACCAACGAAATTAGCTTCATTTCCATCGGACCTCCCGCACAGCAAAGGGCATGCATAATGACTTGACCTGCGGCTTATGAAATGCGAAAAACGGCTACAGCATGCGGGTGTCCAATGATGGAGGATATAGAGGCAGAGGAGGCCAGAATCACAACGATGATGATGCCATGTCAACAGGCCCGAGACACGCGTCGCCAATTGCCGTCCCGTGATTTAGCATCCAAAAATTGCGGCCTTAGGCCCGGCGGCCCAAAAACTCAGCCGCCACTTGTCAAACAACGCAAATTGAATGCGCGTGGCGAATTTTCAGTTTCATTTTCATGCCAAAGAATATCACGGAGCCACGGGTCGCAAATTGCGAGCGAGTAAATTGAAGGCAGTCAATATGTGACTGCGACAGAAATTCTTTCAAATAGGAGAGTTTTGTAGACTGTCCATGCAAATTGATGAATTTTTGCATTAATATTTCGATAGATATTAATAAACACATTAAAATTGCATTTACACTTTTTTAAAATTATTAAAGATGTGGGTGCTTGACACATTTTACGGTCGTTTAAAGCGACTGTGGGCGAAGAATCTGCGTGTTTCATCTCAGCTTTTTAGCTTTTAAAGTTTCCGAGATAAACTTAGTCAAAGGAAGAGTGTGTCTTCAAAATCTGTTGACTTATTATTATTACCGATGACTAAACTTGCTGCTAATCAACATCGGGGTAGTTAACTCCCATCCAAGCATATCCGTAATTTCTAATCAAATGTTAAATGAATAATTAAGCTCTTAGGTTGATTTTGATGCCGTCCAAACGGAAATTGCGTCCGATGGAGAGTAAACGCTTTTTCCTCGAATCGTTTACTCCATGCAGCTGGTCAGTCTGGCCACCTATGTAAATTTTGAGCCCCAGTATCTCAGGCTGGGCAATCCTATTGGTAAACAGACTTGCAAGCTTAACTGAATTTGAATTAGGCCCAGTCAAGTGGAGGAATTCGAGAAGAGTTGGCCATGCCGGAAGTCAAAAGGTTGCATATGAATTTATAATTTGCTCGTCCATCTACTGTATTAATTTGCAGTTACCTTGGATTTGCCAACGAATAAAGTAGGGATAATGTAGGAAATTTGGAATATAAGTGCGAATCGAAACAAAAATAGGACCAGGACAGCAAGAAATTCTGGACTTTTTTTGTTTTGGATTTGCCAGTTAGTTTTCCCAGTCGCACACACAATATCTGTTTCTCTATTTCCCCCGACCTGCCAGCCACTTCATGCAAAATGAAGGAAGAGCCGAACCGGACAGGACGTCAGAGACCAGGGGCCCCCAAAGCCTGCTGACGGATGCAGGAATAACAAAAACTTCCGAAAAACAAAAACCGAGGAATGCAAAATAACAACCAGAATCGAGTGGCTCAATGGCCGACGATGTACTTAACCCATTTTCCAAAAACAAAAAAATTACAGAGAAATAAAGTAAACCCGAACAATCGAAGTTGAATACTCGAGAAGTGCTGAGTTCCTTTTTATAGAGCTGGGTCATTGAACGAGCTGCTGGATATTTTGCCTGTTTAATAATTGAATGCAGTTATGGAGCAGCAGTATTCAGAGTGTCTGGAAATTTCATTAAAAAGTATAATCGAAATGTTAACAGGCGGGCAGAGATGGGTTTGAAAAAGAGGAAAGCATAAAATTATATTTTAAGCACTCTCCAAACAGCGATGCCGGATTCGCCTGTCTAAATCGCTCGGATGCTAATGTCGGTGGGCAGCGGACAGCTCCCATTTTCGGAGCTGCGATGCACAGCATCCTTGCCTCTGGCCCGGAATCACTTGGCCAGGCCCACTCGAAGACTTCTGCCCTTTGCACATGGCCTGCATAATGAATGGGAATGTGTCTGAGAGCCTTTTCGCCCGGCCAAACTCTCTGCGGTTGTTTTTGCAGTTTAATTTTCCTTTTCAGCTACTGCTGCGTTTTACACTGCTTGTTTTTGGCCCCCACGCCATGTTGATTACAATGCGAAATAAAAGCGCAATTTGTGGGCATATTGTGGGCGAGCATTATTCGGTAGCATCATGAAAGGCACTTTCGTGAAGGAAGGATAGATGCGGATATACTTTTAGTAAAGGAAATTCCATTCACTGGATTTTAGGGCCAAAATTAGGTTTAAGAGATAATCAGAAAAAGTGTACTGGTAGAACCTTAGAAATATAATAAAATAAAAATAAAACAAATAAAATATTTACTTTCATTTCAACTAAAATATTTTAGTTGTTTTAGTTCTTAAAAATTTAAGAATATTGAAATTGCCAAAAATACAGGCA